CTCAATTTTGTTTCTAATTAGCCTTTTATTTTCTGGCCTCAGACAGTTGAGTTTAGGAGCATCTCTGAGTCCACTGAGAGCCTCTGAGGCAGGAGGGGAGGGCTTTGCTTTTACCAGAGCATGGAGGACACAGTGCAGAGAGAGGTTTGGGGAGAAGCCACTTTGAAATGGTTGAGTTTTCTGGAAGAAATTATTGAGAATCTAAATCTCTTTAGTCAATCACATCAGCAAGAGCAGCTGTATATAGAACTGATGTGTAGTGAAGGGGTGTAGTCAGCAAGGACACGAGAAGGCACTATTCAGTCAGCTGAGAACTTCCCAAGAAAGGGATCCAGAAAGAAGCCTGGATTTCAGTCCAGGCCGAGGATCTCACAGCCCAGAAATGCCCTCCAAAGGAGCAGACTAAGAGAGTGACTTGGTTGTAGGGAGCATGTGTTACCCTGTTAGTGTTCACCCCAGTGTGCAAAAGTGTCCCTAGAGGCTCCACAGAAACTGAAGTCCTTGCCATGAAGATAGCCCAGGGAAATGAAAGGACCCAGGCACACAAACAGAGTACAACAACGACAGTTGAGACAGGGTGGGACATTCTGGAAAAGATTCTTTTTTTTTTTTAGACTTGATTGAACCCCCTGGGACCTGGCAATATTTGGTAGGATGCTGCTCACAGATAGGATGCTTACGAGTTCTAGTTTCCTTTTGTTGCTATACAAAGCAATCTACCCAAAGTCATATGGAAGAAAAGGGTTTATTTCATCTACTTCCAGGTCACGGTCATTCTTTGAGGGAAGTCAGGACAGGAATCTGAAGGCAGGAATGCATGCTATTCTGTGCAGCATTAACCTTCACCCAAGGAACTCTTCGCAGCCAAGGAAGTGTGGCAGGAAGCAGAGGGGTTGTTTGCTAGCTTGTTCTCTATCTAGCCGAATCATTGGCTCATGCTTAAATAGATTTCTGATTAGTGCAGAACCACCTGCCTAGGAATGATGCTGCCCATAGTGAGCACACATATGAAATACACACACATATAAAACTCTAGAGAGTTAAAACTCTAGAGAGTTATATGTGTGCTTTCCTCACATTGGATTCCAGTCATTGCTTTCCATTGTTCCTAGTCTTCTCTGTGCCCAGTTTTTCTTTTGCTAACCTGAAAGGTCTGCTTTTCAAAAAGCAAACACATCTGTTCTCCATGTAGCAGCTGTGCACAGGTGTGTCTGTCATTCTTTGAACATACCTAGAACATCACCTTGGTGTGACTCCAGATAACTTGGTCTGTAGGCCAGAGCTGACCACTTAGGGAACAGGAGAGTGGCTCCTGCATTCCCTGGCTGCATACCTCTGAGTAGTATATTATGATCTCAGGGAGTCTTCACAGGAGCACCTGAACCTATCTAGAAGTAGACAGCTGGCTGAAGTGTTTCCATATTTTCTTGTAGAAAAGAATCCCACTCAAGGCTAATTTATAGATATTCTAGTATAGACCTTTATAGGTTCCCTCATCTAAGACCAGATAATGATGATGATGATAATGATGATGATGATTACTGTTATTATTATTTGGAGAGTATCTGCTGTATTCTCGGTTGTTAGTTATATAGTGGCAGAAGACAGAGACTAGCAGACCCATCTGCTCTGGAAGATAAAGTTTCTGTGTTCTACTGAGTGACATCTTCCCATCGGAGGAGATCCCAAGAAGGCTGGACAGAAGGAAAGCTGCATCATGACTTAGAAAAGAGAATTTTAGAAGCAGTTTTAGAAGGAATGGGAAAGGATGACCATGAAAGAGAGTGGAAACTGCCCCCTTGCTGCTGGGAGATGAATCCAAGGGAGGAGGGGAAGGGAAGGCTGGGAGACTGGTTGGCACCTGAGAAGCACTTGCTTTAGTGGAGAGGGCCTGAAGATTTCTCCCTGGGTTGATGAGGGGTGAGGTGCTTTAAAAGGGTTGCCACTCTTGGGATGTTGACAGGAAGTGGGTTTAGCAGCCCTTCCAGAGGAGTCTGGACTGTATGCTTTTTCATACATTCCTGCCTGCCTAAGAGTCATAGGAAGGCTGAACTGCTGGGACCAGGTACAAAAGAATCAGGTGATAGAGCTAAGAACCGACCTTGGTCCAAATCCACTGGGGACAGAGGGTCCGACATACTATGATTTTCTCATTTGTGTGCTGATGCCCACATGGCTAGGGATGATGAACTTCAGACTGTTTTATAGGTGAAATGAATATTTGGGGATATTTTCCAGTCTAGTTAGCGAGGGTTGCACTGAAATGGATTTGCATGTTGAATATCCTTTACCCAAACCACTTAAAAGCAAGCATGTGTTGGAATATTTTAAAGATTTTAGAATATCTTTGTATGTGCATAATCTTGGCAATGAGTGTAAATGTAGATTCATTCACATTTTATGTATCACTCATATGTATAAACTGAAGGTAGTTTCATGCATCATGTTTGGGTTCTTGGTGCTCGTGTGCTTGGCTTATAGCTTGTCCCATAAGTTGTACAATTTTCTAACTTTTATATGATGTTTGCTCTTAAAAATATTTTAGATTTTTCAGATAGACTGGGATGCTAACTTGATCCTCCCTCCCTCCCTCCCTCCCTCCCTCCCTGCCTCCCTCCCTGCCTCCCTCCCTCCCCCCCCTCTCTCTCTCATACACACACACACACAGAGTGTGTTTGGGAGTGTATGTGTGTGTGTGTGTTTGGAATTGTGTGTGTGTGTATGTGTGAGAGTGTGTGTATTTGGGAGTATATGTGAGTGTAGGAGTATTGTGTCAGTGTATTATGAGTGTGTGTGTGTGTGTGTGTGTGTGTGTGTGTGTGTGTGTGTATGTTTGTCCGGTGAGAAACAGCAGTAATCAATGTCTTTCATAAGAAAAAAGCTTCTCATTTCCAATATAGTCCTTCTAATTTATTCAGACCTCACTAGTCTTCCCAATATTTATTAATATTGGGGTCCTCTGGTATAGATAAGCCTAAAATAATTGATATCATTTTTTATGTAATAAAAAACAGTAGCGTCAAAGTTGAGATGCAAAGGGTGGGAGAGAAGAATTCTTTGGTAGAAGTTGAAATCTCAAACAAACAGCCCTGAGGGTTGCATGCCTGTGGTTTTATTAATGCAAATAACATTAATTGAATTTAGTGATGGCGTCACAAGTCTGCCGTGTTGGGGACAGTAACACCAAGCTCACTGCTCTTGCTACCATGGTCACTGAAAGTCCAAAGATGAGCTGGAGACTGGTGGGGCTTTGTGGAAGGAACAGCATCACTGGAATTCCAGGCAGAGGCTCCACCCTGTGTGGGCAGGGGACCCCTAGGACAGACAGAGAAGGTGTGAAGGCCAGAAGGGTTTATGTGGTGTAGAGAGCTGGCCTGGCCTTTGGAAATGGAAGTCCATGCCAGTCAGGGACCCACAAGTCTCCCCATACCCACACCAGAGAAAATGGCCACCTCATAGAACCTATGTGAGTGTTCACCCGAGAAGACCCTGGCACATAAATTTTAAGGGCAACCCTTTTAATCAAAGATAGCGGAGTTTTCCAGACCCTCTGGAACAAGGCAGAGAAGACATTTGGCTTAGGGAAGTTTTTCAGAGGTCTTCAAAGACCAAAGAATTATGTTATTCTTGAGTAAGGAGTAATTTGATTGCATCAGTGAAACAGTTCTTAGAATTGTAAGTTAATAAATTAATCCTGAGCATCAGTGGTCCTTCCTTGCCCTGCTCTGTGAGGAGCCATTTAGAACATTTCGCATACTAAGCATTGTGAACACAGTGAATTATTGCTGGCCTCCAACTAATAATGAGTTTTTCCTGTGCTACTGGTATTAAAATTCATTGTTCCTTATTTGCAAAGCACGTCCAACTCTAATTCTGTTCTGCTTGGGCTCATATGGGTGTCAGTTTACAGTCGCTGGGTCCCCAGACTAGGACACCATCTTCAAAACAGTCTGTACACAGCCCGAAGACCCCGGCGGTGAGAGGATACTTGAGGGCATAATGAGTGGATTCTGGTTATTATCTGGTCTTATCTGCTACAACCTACAAAATGCTATATTACCAGTCCCTTTCTGCTCCAGCCCCTATTCCCGTCTGTGATTTTGTCGGAACAATAGGAGAAGTTTCCTAACAAACTTTGCATGGCATCCAAGTCCTGCCTAACTCTAGTTCCTTGACACATGATTTAAGAGTGATGTGGAAATTAGGGAATATTCCTCAGACTGAGCAGAACCATCCTTTCTGGACACAGCTGTCCCATATTGACAAGTGCCTCAGGAGACAGTCCTATATGGCCTTTGGAATCCTTTGGATTTCTTGAATGAGAAATAAGGATTAGAGAAACTTGTCCAGTTTGGGCAAGCCCAGCATCACCCCCAGAGTCTGTCTATTGGGACTGTATTTTTGGTAACTGGGAAATAGTGCAGAGGGAATGTTGCATACCAATTAGTGGTATTAAAATATATATTATGCACAGCTCTGTATGGGGGCTTCAAAGTCTCCTTGACAACATCATTTAACTTCTTACTGTTCTTTTCACATTGCAAGTATAAATATCTAATATGTTTTTGTTCAAAACATCAATTAGGCATCAGCATAATCTTTATTAATACAGATTTGTTATTACAAGGAGACCGCTGAGCTGCGGTAATTTGCACAGCAGGAACAATGAAATATCTTCTTTCTTGATTCTATCCGGAATGCCAGGCTCCCCCCACCTCTCTCTCCCTCTCTCTCTCTCTTCCTCTCTCTGTCACTGCCTCTCCCTCTTTCTCTCTCTTTCTCTCTCTCTCTCATCACAAAGCACACACACCAAAAACCTTCCATGATGCCCTTTACAATAACAGAGAAGTCTTTAAAGCCTTTATAAGCACAAACAATCTTTTTCTCCCATGACGAACACAGCGGAAAGGGCCCACTGGGAAGTGTATCTACTCCTGACGAGTGGGTGCTCTAGTTGCGGGTTCCACTTTTAATTTCTTGACTTCTTTTCCCTCATGTAGCCAGAACTCCCCACTTCCTGCGGATTCAGAACGTGGAGGTGAATGCCGGCCAGTTCGCGACCTTCCAGTGCAGCGCCATAGGCAGGACCGTGGCCGGGGACCGGCTCTGGCTGCAGGTATGTGTACCAGCTTTCCCTGTCCCGACAGACAGCAGGACAGCCACATCATCCTAGGGGAGAGACTGGAGACACCAAGGCAGTCACTGTTCTAGAGCATCCTGTCCACATCACAGTTAGATATTCAGGTTTCCAACCTCAGCTAGGCCATTTTCTTTACTGGTCTTTTTGGAATTTCTCTGTTTCCCATTGCTTTTGCTTGATGATCTCCTTTGACAGATTTTTGTCAAATTAGATTTAGCAAAGAACCTTAAATTGTAAACTACAACGCCTCTCTCTCGTCTTCCACTGAAGAAAAACAAGCCGAATATTCTCACTCCAGTCTCTCTGCCCCACCCCCACCCCACACACACAGCAAGAGAGAGAGAAGGAAGAGCTTGCTTTTGCGGTCCTTTCTGTAAACAGCACTTTTAAACAGCTCGCGTTAGTTTCAAGCATTTAAGTTATGTGTGTATATGTATGTTCATATAAGCCTGGCCCATGCGTGCCGCTGCAGTCCTCCAGGTCCTGCTCTGTACATACTGTGTGATGATGCACAGTCCCTTGAACCTGTGCCCACTCTGAGGAGTTCAGGTACATTGAGTAATGTCAGTGACCTTCTCTTCCACACAGAATGCCACTCCCTTCCTTAGACTTTGGGGTATTTTTTTTTTTTTGGAGGTGGGGTGTTCTTCTCCTCGATGACCTGCAGTCAGGCTGCATCTTGTTCCTTTTAAGTATTAATCTACGGGCTGCTCCTCCCTCAACTCTTTTAGAATACCTTTTCCCCTTTCTTTCCTTCTCTTGTTCTCTGGGGAGTTTCGGTGCCAGGATCAAGCGAGGGTCCTTGTGCATGCCAGACTGGCACTCCCCCAAGAGACACAGCCCCAGGCGTTTACATTTTTATTTTATCATTTTATGTATAATTTTGAGTTTGCTACCAAGCTGAAGTACTCTGTTTGAACCCTTCCGTATCCACTGTCTCACGATAGGCAGCTACCATGGTCTTGTTTCCCTTCTCACATCAGTCCCATCCCCGCCTCTTGCCATACTTTGCATTTCTGCCAGGGCATGGTATCTGTGAGGTATCACACTTACATGATTTTTAAATCCTTTATCCCTTTTAATAACCATGTTTTAGCTGGTTGTTTGTGTTGCTCTGTTTTCTGGAGGGAGTAGAAAGTAGCTGAACGTCAATGGTAGGCTGTCAGGTGGGAATGTGTTCTGAGGAGGAAGCGTCTCATGGCCGCCACACAGAGCATGCCTTACCCTTCTGCCCGATGACCTTGTTCTCCTGTATCCTGGCCCTTGTCCAAGACCTTTATGCCAGGAAGGAGGGATGGGTACAGAACTTTAGAATCACACGTTCTCAATCCATCCTTACTTTTTTCTTTGTTTCTGAAAGTTTTGTAATCACTACCCTAAAAGCTTTTTGTAGCATGTGAAGACTGACGTAAGCGTTTAACTTTTTATTTTCTTTTTATCCCACGACTCAGTTCTTGTAAATGACCATGCTTGGGATATAGGCTTGCTGCCTGAGTGGGTGGATATTTGTGTTAATGAGATCCAGACTGGCTGTCTGTTGTGCTTGATGAAGGAGATAGACATGTTTTATTGACATTTTCCACAAAACATTTCCCACCTTTAAAAAATGACACTGTTATTTTCATAATTACCTGTACAGTTCTTAATTATTTACAGAAAACTAGTTTGGTTGTTTTTCTTGTGCACATCACTTGGGAGGGGACTATGAAAAGTGTGAACTCCCAGGTCCGAAATCATAGGGCTTAATCCCAAGGACTCAATGGCACATGAAGGACAAGATTTGCTCCTAGATTTTTCCCAGATTTGGGATGCTCTGCTTCAACCCCTTAATTTGGAATTCCAATCTTTAATCCATCACTAGTAGTGGAAGTGGTGGTTTTAAGCAGTGTTTAGCGTGATATGAGGAGAGAGCTGATTTCTGTTTTGAGGTGGAAGAGAGGTACCTTACAGTAGACTTTTCCATCCTGCCTCTCTATGCTTACCTTGGGAGATTAAGGGATTTCAGGCTTACTCTCTGGTTCTGATTTAGTGGGTCCGAATGAGGGGCCCATCTTCAGTATTTCATCAAATGCTGTCCAAGTGATTCCATTGTGAAGCAAGGGTTCAAAGTAACTAACCTGAAGCAAAATTTAATGGTATAGTATTTAGTGGGTATAGTAATTTAATGGGCATAGTAAATTGGAATGAAAAAGCAAATGTAACATGTAACTGGTAAATAGTAGTCCCTGGATGTCCCTGGAGTAAGGAGCCTATAGGTAACCCAGTCCTCAGATGCTTGAGCTCCCTGTGTAGAATGGCAGAGTGTTTGTATGTAACCTGTACACACAGTCTCATCCACTGAGATAATCTCAAGATTACATAACTTCCGTAATGTTAACACTGTGCATTGGTGGCTGTGCTCAACTTCTCAGGAGCTAAGGACAAGGACAGAGCCTGGGTGTCTTCAGCAAACATTTCTTTTTTGTCCTATTGTAGGATTGTGCTATAGAGCTAGGCTGGCCTGGAACTTGCTGTGTAGCCCAGGACATTTTTCTTCCCCAAACTCCCAAGGGCTAGAACTATAGACATGAGCCACAATACTGGCTTTCAAAATAGTCTTGGTTTGTTGTTTTCTTCAGTGTTTGGGTGCAGAGGCTGTGGATTTGGGGACCACATGTATGTAGACATCTCAGTATGCTTTTCATGTCCAACTTTGTGTCCAAGGCCTCTCTATTTTTCATGTTCTGAAACATAATTTCATGTTTTGAAGCATTATAATATTGATGAATCCATTCCTGTCTGACCCTGTGACGTTTTCCTTTTTCTCTTTCCTAGACTTCTTTTGTTTCTAATCTTCCTAATCGTCTGCCTTTGTCATGCCTAAGAGTCTCCATGTGCCTACGTCAAGACGGGGCATGATAGCCCCAAGATGGGGCATTATAGTCATAGAATTTACATGACTCTGGATTTTTAAGTAAATTTTAGTTTGTCCTGCTCTCAGGATGCTGTTTGGTTTGTGAGTCTTGTGATGATCCAGTAATCCTACTATGTAATTATTGATGACTTCTGCTTGAGTAGGCATTTTGTGGGAAAGTGTTTATCTTATGGAGAAGACTCATACACAGAATTATTAAAATCTTCTAAAAATTACTTTCAGTCTATGTGCATAAGGTAATGTGAAATATAACTGAATATCTTCTGTAGATATGAATGTCATTTTTAATTATGTGTAGGTGTGCATGTTTGTGTATGTGTATGTGTGCATATGTGTAGGTAGGTGCCTGCATATGGGTATGTGTGTATGTACATGTAGGCAACCAAAGTTGACTTCACGTGTCTCCCTTGGTCACATGTCTTGGTCTTTGTCTCCTGCTGTATTTATTAAGTTGGGGTCTGCATTCGAACCTGAAATTCACCAGTCCCATCTGGCCTAGCTAGCCAGTTTGCTCCGTGGATCCCCTGTCTGTGTGCATAGTGCTGAGAGTGCAGTGTGGTTTCTGAGGATCAAAATTCCAGTGCTCCAGCTTGCATGGCAAGTCCTTTATCCACTCAGCCATTTCCCTAGCCCTAGATCTTACTATTAAGAACTCATTATCTATATGCAAACATCTGAAAATCTGAACCAAGCTGAACACTAACGTCTTCTTCAAACATTTCTGAAGACGAATATTCCACACACAACGCTTCTGGAGCTGTAGCAGTTACAAAGTGGTTTTCTGCATGTCATCTCACTAGGGTATTTAAAGTTATTCTGAAATCCATGTACAAAATGAGTACTAAAAAATATTTTTTTATTTCCTCTATGGTGTAAATCTCCCAGGAATAAAGCAAAATTTAGAAATCTAGGATGGATGTTTATTTGGGGCCACATCAGTGCTTTCAAGGGTAGCCATCAGCAAACTGTCTTTTGTGTGTGACAGACTTTAGAAACACCCACAGTAGGCAGTGGGCACAATTTTTCTTGTGTCCCTACTGTGGTGTTATATCTATTTGACAGATAAGAGACTGAGAATCAGCCCTCTCAAGTCACTAGGGTAAACTGTGTAGTTAGGAATAGTGGAAACCTGTGTATCTACTTTAATTGCACTGCTGTGTACATCGAACTCTGTGTTATCCTCCCTGAAATGTGGGTAAACTGGCGGATATGTACCTCAAAGAATTTGGCAATGACCCCGTCACAAATTAACATCAAGGGCATGACCTTCGGGAATATGTCTGTGTGTCTATGTGTATTCCAGGTACATGGTGATCCACACCTACATGAAATGTCCAAGGATTTCATTGTTTGGAACAAACTTCAAATAGCACTTTTGTGGTCGTTGTCACAAAATACTAATAAGTCTAATGAAACATAAGTAATAATGAAAACCGTGAAAGATTTTACTTTCATGTGTGTGCATGTGTCTGGGTTTGTGTCAGTGTATGCCGTGGGTGTGATGTTGCCCTTGGAGGCTAGAATAGTTCATTGGATCCCCTGAAGCTGGGGTTACGGTCAGTTGTAAGCCGCTAGATGTGGCATTGGGAACCAAACTTGAGTCTTCCGGAAGAGCGGGAAGGGCTCTTCACTGCTGAGCTAACTCTCCAGCTCCTGGGAGAGGTCCTTTTATCACTGTAACAGACATATGACATATCTCACCATGGGGATGAGGCTAGTATGGGGGGGGGATTTTTCTAAACTGCAGAACTAAATAAAAATAAAATAAAGCTCAGTGGGATGAGCGCCCATCTTTATACCTGCAGTCCTTTTTTTTTTTTTTTTTTTTTTTTTTTTTGGTTTTTCGAGACAGGGTTTCTCTGTGTAGCTTTGCGCCTTTCCTGGAACTCTCTTTGGAGACCAGGCTGGCCTCGAACTCACAGAGATCCGCCTGGCTCTGCCTCCCGAGTGCTGGGATTAAAGGCGTGCGCCACCACCGCCCGGCATATACCTGCAGTCTTAAAGGCAGCATTGTGTGCAGTGTAAGCGGTGATTAGAAGTTCTTGCAGATGTTTGATAGGTG